AATTAGGGACTTTAAGCAAACCACGACGGCTACGGCAACGAGAACGTGGAAAAACAATAGATCTAATTGGCAGAACAATAGCCCAGCACGTGCGTTTTCAAACTTTGTACATTTCTTAGCCGTCCTTTGCAAAACAACAACGTGAAATCACCAAAATTTGCGTCGTCTGTGAAGCTAAACCGCGGCGGCAAGTTATTTTAATTTACATTTGGAACTCAACGCTACTTTTATGCGTTATGTTGAGTTTGAGGTCTGGCGCCCTATGAGACGGTAAACACATCCAGCCATTTTCGAAATTCTAACTAAAAGTAGAAACTCATTTTTTAATCGACGTCTTCCGTGGCGTTGCCGTCCTGACTGCTTAAAGTCCCTAATGTATGCAATGACAAGGGAAGTTTTAAATTAACATGGTTAAGTTGAATAAATGGTTGTTCCCATTGAATGCGAATAGCTTCTTTGATTTTAAGTTGGAGAGTTTAAGTTGGAGAGTTTTCTAAAACACTCATCAGAAACATAGAGTGCCACATTGTTGAGAATTTTGTAAAATTGAGAGGTCCTATCACGTACACTGTGGATAAATGTCGAGAGGTGTCGCCGACATACGGCAATTTTATGATAAAACATATCTGGTCCTCTTGGATATGAATAGACAAAGTGACACAGATCTGCTCGAGATTAGTCACGGTTTGCACCATAGTTTTTTCTTGTACGCCAAAATTACGGCCATTATGATGTCTCCCGATCTCTATAATCACCTGATTCAAAGGTTTTTGCATCTAAAGTTTCGTTTGCAATCCATACGTCCTGAAAATGGGGATAGAGGGGGAGGATAAAATTGAAATGACACCTATTTTGGACCAAAAAAACCCCATATTTCATACACATTTCTGGCCTCTAAGATATAGGCTCAACTGAGTGAAAAGACCGTTTCAGCCAACACTGTTTTTCTTAAGAAGAACCATACTGAACTATATCCTCTCTTCGATAGAGATAGACTTGGGTACCAACAGCGAAAAAGTGAATAATAAACAAACAAACATTTCCTTGATGATGCAATGTTAGTAGTTTTCTTTCACACTTGTGACCACTCTTCTTTCTTTCTGAATAAGTTCCCTTATTTTACACCTTTCGATCTCTTTCAAATATCTCAATTATACCTCGTGTAGAATCATCAAGGACTCAAGGCATGTCCTAGGTAAGAATGGGCTTGATTTTTCCCACATTAAATGTTCACAAACGTACTTTTATTCATATTTGCAGCTGAAGGACAAAAGCGATTTCGTTCACAGAGTTTTTAAATACGTTCTCCGAGTGCACTTTTAAACTTTGATCTCTTGTTCATCTACTGCGAAAGTACAGCTCAAGTTCATTTTGTGATTGACAGCAGGTCAGCCCATCAAATTTATTACAGCATTTCAGAACGAGCGTTTGCGATTGTATAATATATGGGTGCGCTGGACAACTCGATCCGGAGTCGAGCGCACTAACCATGAGACCACCGCGCCTCCAAATCCGCAACAGGAGCTGATTGTTAAGAAATTCCTTATGTAAAGTGGTTTGTAACAGTATTCGTCCCTGTACATCAGCGGTTTCGTATTCCGGCACAAGGCGAGAATGGCCGGCAAATAGATTATCAAGGTCTGGAAAAGATTTACGCTAGGCAGATTATTGATGCTCGCGCGTTATCGTGAATATTTAATAATTATTCGCCTCAGGTTCGGTGAATATCGTCGAATAATCCCTCGACTTCATCTCGGGGATTATTCACCGAACCTGACGCGAAAAATTGTTTTAGTATAATTTCAGAGCTGAACAACAGAGAAATTTTTAAAATTATAGCATTTTAGTAGCATTTATTAACATTTTATTTTAACATTTCATATAAACCGCGTGGGGCAGTTTATATAGCGTCATATAAGGAACCGCTCGACCAATCAGATTGCTGGAAACTCTTTGCTCAGCTCTGAAATTATACTAAATACGAATATACGGTTGTGTGTATGTGTGTGTGTGCGTGAGTGTGTGTGTGTTTATGTGTGTATGTGTGTGTGGGTGTGTGTGTGTGTGTGTGTGTGTGTGTGTAGGTGCGTGTGCGTGCGCGTTTACGCGCGTGTGTGTATGAGGGGGGGGAGGGGGGATACGAACACACTTGCTACATCTGTGATCCATACTAGAGGAGTCTACTCTAAGTTTACAGGTGAAGCATGGAAACGTCTACACAAGATTCACCCCTGTTATCACCCTCAGATGTGTCGTTATGGTCTTCCCAAAACCATAATCCCAATTCCAAATCCGTTGAGACAATCGTGGGTGTTGTAAAATTGGGGAAGACCAACTCCGGTGAATTGACTGTGTGGTCTGCCATTGTGTACCAATCAGAACCCGTGTAGTTTTCTGGTTGCAAGATTTGATTCTGGTCGTTAGTGATAAGAATTCCAAGTCTACGGTTCCTGCCGCGTCCCCATTTCGCTCCAGGAGAATTTCTCGAGTTATACAAAAGGCCAGAGACGTGAACAAGTTTAATAGCAGCAACGTATCCTACAAACTGAGGTAAAGCACGCTCAAAGGCATCTCTCCTAGCCCCATTGCAGACTGGTCCTCTGATGTTAAGTTTGCTCCAACCTGTACCGCCTGAATAAAGAAGAGATCAGAACTCCGTTAAGATCAGTTGGTGATATGCAATACGGCTTTTACATCATACGTAAAGGCTTGGTAAGTCCGGCCAAACCTTTACGGTCATCGGCTCTTGTAACTTTGGCTTATGAATACAGGCGTTTAGTTATACTTTTAAAACTCCCTGAAGAAGCCAACCACAGTTAGAGGAAACGCGTCGGAAAATAAAAGAAATTTTACAACTACTGTTCACAGAAGTACTGCTCACTAGTCTATATTTAAAAAATTGGGTTTTTTTTTGAAGGAATTTGTCATATAAAAGATAGCGAAAATTTTTCCTTACCGATTTCACAGAATTGTCCTTGAAGGCCAGGGGCACATTTACAGGTAAAATTTTTGCTTGTGCCGTGTTGACGACATGATCCCCCACGCAAACAAGGCTGGCTGAGGCATGGCGTTGCCTGCAAATGAATGTTAAAAGGCGTTTAAAACGAAGCCAAACAAAACAAAAAAAAAATACAGCTTACATACCAAGAGGTGACATTATTGCTAAAAGAGTAAGAACAATACAAAGAGGTAAATTTTGGAAAAAAAGTAACTGATTAAAAAATTAGGATTTACTATAGTCACAGAAAGATTTACCGCGAATACGGTTGCCGAGATATTATGATTAATGCTTTGAAAAATATTTTCTTTTTATTCTATTAAAATTGATAGGGTCAAAATAAAGCAATCATGAAATATGACAGGTTTAATTTGCTAGCAGAGAAATGAAGGAGAGAAAATGCATAATTTTGTTTTATCTAAAAGAGGGAAAGAAAGGGGAAAGAAGACAAAGTTTTGGTTGTCGATCAAAATGTCAGTGTTTATCCTCCAATATACAAGAACTCTGCGTGAAAAATGAACCACCTCGTTTACTTTGCTTTTAATTCCAGTTTGATTCTATATTATAACATTATAGGTTTCTGTTATATACCCTCAGCAATCTTGTTCGCTGTTATATCTTTCTAAAATGGCTTAAATTAAACCTTCAACCTGACAACTAGAAGATCAAACTTGCATTAAACAATCCCTTAAACGAAAAAAATAAATAAATAAGAATATTTACCACTGTCGGGAAGTGGCTGAAATCGTTGCTTGGTCCAAATTTCTCAGACTTTCTTTCCTTGATAGTGGACAACAGCTGGCATTGTCGACTGTTGTGAGAGGCAGAATGTATAGCCACATAAATAGAAAAGCAGAGAGGAGCGAGCAGGCAAAGATTCTGGCAATCTTCGGCTGTCTGAGTGGAGTGTGATTCCATGGAAGAAACATTTGAAAGGCTATGCAAATACGCAATAAAATTTGAAAAGACGATTTCTTCACCAGTGGAAGATTTGTACACTTCAACATTTGAATCATGGTCATACAGCACTGAAGAAAAACCAGAAGCGACCCAAAGAAGACCTACGAACTTCAAAGAAATTAGAGTCATTTTGATCGTAAGTTTGAAAGCTCTACTTGAAAAGAACTCTATATTGGTAGCCGCTGGTGATTTTATAATTTGTCAAATTATGCACATCATTTGTAAGACATGTTAAAAATAATAGATTTCCCAGTTTTTAACGAGTGTCTCGGGACCTTTCTTATAATATCTTCAAAGAAACTTTCTTAGAAATGTTTTTATCTGTGAAAATAAGCTGGACGCAGTTTCCCCTGATTATAGCAATTCCTCGCCCCTCTGTTTCCTTACGATTTTATATACCAGAAACCTGAAGTTATCAAGGCACAAAAGGAATAAACATCAGTAATTAAAAAGTGGTAAATAATTCCTAGCGTCCATTAAAACAGCAGGAAAATGATAATTGATCAAAGATATTTTGTTAGATTTTGAATTGAGGTGCAACCCTACTGATGAAGTATTTCATTCTTTTTTTCAAGGGTGACAACTGTGTAATTATATAAATGAAT